AAAATAAATGCTCTGTGGTAAAGCAATTATCTTTCGTGAAACTGAATATTGCAGAGGTAGTGGATAATCAGAGGTAGTATCATGTATAATCTGTATACCAGTGCTACTTGCAGTGATTTTCCATCAACTCTTAAGATAAAAATTGGGCAGTACTACAATCAAATGGTCTTTACTAATATTCAAAATTTGTTATAGAAACCTTAAAAAGATCTTAATAGACTTTCAATAGTATTGGAACAACACACTTTATTCCAGTCAATGGAATAACTACTTGAAGCAAGAGCTTTTCCTGATTTCATAGATTTAATGGTATATATTATTTGTTAGAAAGAGACAGTTTGATCATGAGTGATATTAGAAAAGCTCTTATCTAAAATGAATTGATTTTGTTCACTAGAACATTTGAATCAGTAATATATACCCGAGTATAAAAATCTAAAAATCATGGATTTATTGAGTCAGAATCATTTTACCCTTTACTAATATTATGGTATTTACTTGTTTCAGAAGCAAAAAGTCTAGTAACTTACTAAGTCTCTCACTTCACTCCTAATATCTTTGTTTTTATGATTCAGTGAATATAGTATTTCAAATACATAAAGAGAGTTGCATGACTATTACCGGTAGTTCATATAAGTTTTATATAATTCTGGCACTATCTATCTTGCATATGGAAGTTTCCTTCCCATGTTTTTCTTCTGACCTTTCTTTTTCCATGAAGCAGAAGTACGAATATGACCATGTGATGTGCCTTAAAATATCCTAAACAACCAGTTGATTGGCAGAATGTTAATGTAAATAGTTGTCAAACACTTGTTACAAAAAGTGGATCCTTTCATAATGAGATATTTTAAAAGAAAATTTAGAAAAAGGATTCTTTCCTATATTGATACAAGTACAACAGCAAAATCTGATTCTATATATCTATCATCATCATCATCATCATTATGGTGGATAGCCATTGTCTAACCACTGCAGGATGAAAGCTTCTTCCGCATGTTTCCAACCAATACGGTCCTGAGCTTTCTTTTGCCAATTGGGCCTGCAATACTTGCTGATGTCATCAATCCATCTTGTTTTAGGTCTCTTTCATGGACAAGTGGGATCCATTCTATGACTGCTATTGGTCCACCTGCCATCAGTTCTTCTTGCTATGTGACCAGCCCATTTCCACTGCAATTCTTTTACTCTCTTGATGATATCGTATACTTTCATTTGTTCTCTAATCCATGTGTGGGTCTTTCTATCTTGTCTTATAATGCCAAGCATGCATCTTTCCATGGCTCTTTGTGCAACTCGTAGCTTTTATATCAATTGTGAGGTTAGTGTCCATGTTTCACGGCATATGTTAGAACAGGCAGCCCACACTGATCGAAAACTTTTCTCTTCAGGCATAGGGGGAAGTTGCGCTTGAAAATTATGCTTAGCTTGCTGAATGCCTGCCAAACATAATTTTCAAGAGCAACCTCCCCCTATGCCTGAAGAGAAATGTTTTCGATCAATGCGCTACCTGCTCTGATATAGCTATATTACATTTAAAAATCCAGTTGAGAACAACTCCAGAATGAAAAAAACCTGTTATAAATTATTTAAAAGTTACCATATGTCTACCAAATTAAACTTCAATATATAAACTTGCAATATTTTCCATGTGCAACAATTAGATTTAGACAGGCTAGTTTTATTAAAATCTCCAGCCATAATAACCTGATCCACAGCCAAAGAAAAGCTTTTGAAAACATCTATGTAATATGTCTGGAAAATTCTTACAGAACCACAATTAGTAAATTTAATGTAACAAAGAATTAATAAATGCAGAATGTAATAAAATATTGATAACAGCCTAAACATCTGGCTGACTGAGCAGTGAATCATCATATTAATCCCCCAACGAGGCACTAAATGTTGATGTGGTGGTTCCTTGTTGCTCAAGGAAGATGAGAGCAATGCCAGAGTTTCAACAATATTGCACAGGTCTCATCAGAGGAGCCAGATGAAGAATGTCACTCCCACAAACAATATGGTAAGATGTAATTTACAGAAACCCATACTGGATTGGTGTTCACCTAGGCTAACAAGAACCATGGACGATACTTCTTGGACAACTGGTGACAAATGGGTTTAGGACTGGGATTTAGTCCTAATGGATTTAGGATTTAGGACCTAATGGATTTAGGACTGGGCTATAAGACTATTTGCTGAACAATCAAGGTTAGCAGATGCAGGACTACTGGGAGAAAAGATGAAGAAGAAAACCCATCACAAATATGCAAAGGTTGAAAACAAATAATAATAATAATGTACTAATGTATAACATGGCTTCTGTTATAACTGAATACTATGGAAGAAAAATCAACAAAGAAGAAGAAAAAAGCCAAAGAGTGCACCACTACTGTTTTATTAGTACAGTGATTTCTCAGTGAACAACATTGAACAACTCAGGCCATGGCTATCAATTATCAAAAACATGTGCCAGGCTATCCCATCTCTTTTATATAGCTACCTGAAAGCTGTATGGATAAAGACCATCAGAAATAGAATTATGTTCAATACTGTTCAAATATACAGGCAAGATATTGCAATGGTGTTTGGACTGGACAAATGTGCCACCCTCACCATCAACAGGGGTAAAAATAATGAAAACTGAAGGAATCAAGATGCTTTATGGAGATTAAGGAGATAACATTAAGAGTCTGGATAGAGACGATCAGTACAAATTAATTGGGCATTCTTCAGCCTGACAGCATCAAGCACACTAAAGTCAAGAAGGAAGAGAGAAATGAATACACGATGAGAGTGAAGATTAGGCAATTAATACTTGGGCAATTCCACTTATTATATACATAACTGGAACAGTGAATAGGACTCAAGCAGAACTAAAAAGTATGGATAGGAAAATAGCGACAATGAATTACACCTTCATCCATAAATCAATGTTGACAGACTCTATTTACCAAGGAAACTGGGTGAGCATGGAATGCTACAAGTATCCCTAGATAATGGGAGAAGGAAAGTGGGCATTGAAGGAATAGATGAAGGATAGCGAAGAAAATGCACTGATGTTAGTATACCATGAAGGCTTACTGAGTACTGGAGATATCAAACTGTTATAAGAAAGATTAAAAGAATAGCAAAGAGATATAGCAAATATTGCATGGTTAGTACATTAAAAAACAAACAAACAAACCCAGCAGGGAAAGTTAACAATAAATTCTGGCGATGGCTAAGAGCTGGAAACTTGAAGGAGGAGACAAAGGGGATCATTCTGGATGCAAAAGACCAAGCTTTAAGAATAAAGACATATACAGCCAGAATTGGCTTTGCAGTTCCTCTGCAATGAAGCTGAAGAAACAGTGGGCCACCTAGTCAGCTACTGCAGAAAGATCACACAGACTGATTACAAGCATTGGCGTGACAAAGTAGCAACGATGGTGCATTGGAAGATCTGCAAGAAATACCATTTGCCTGCAAGGAATAAGTGGTGGAACTACAAAACAAAGTAATAGAAAATAAAAAAAAAAGATAAATTGCACTGGGACTTTAGAATGCAAACCTGTCACACAACACCCCAGACTTAATAACTGTTGATACAAAAGACAAAAAACAATGAATAGCAGATGTTGGGAGTCAGCAGCACAGAACATTAAGAACTGGAGAAAATCACAAAAGACAAAGAACTACAGTTAGAAGTAGAACGACTGTGGCAGAAGAAAGCAAAGATAGCACCAGCAATCATAGGCACCTTGGATGCAATTCCAAAACAATTGGAGCACCACTTCAATAGCATCGGCACTGAAAAAAATAACCATCAGTTGATTACAAAAGACAGCCGTACTTGGAACAATTTATACTTTGCAACAATACCTTTAATACCATCAAACATCTGCCTATCCCAGATTCTTGTAAGACTCATAGAAGGAAAGAAATGCCAAATCCGGTATGAACATCTGGCTGACTGTGTGACTGATGATGATGATGATGATGATGATGATGATGATGATGATGATAATAATAATAATAATAATAATAATAATAATAATAATACATATTTCCAATATTTAAAAAGTCCTTTTAGATCATGTCCTACTATAAATTTTAAATACTTCTTAATTACATATGTAGTAGATCTTGAATTCTTACCATCCCGTCTCCAAGATAAGAGATACTTTTCCTATAGAAGAATATGAGTTAGGTTTAGGTTTTATATTTCTCAGTTTAGTATTTGTTTCCTTATTTAAGTCCTTCCCCATGAAAATCTAACAATATTGGACTTAGATTAAATACAATATTGGACTTAAATTAAAACTTCTATGTCCATTATTTTGTCTCCTGTACTCTGGAATGAGAAATAGATTGTCTCAAAATAAAAGAATAACAGAGTTGGAACGGACCTTGGAAATCTTTTAGTCCAATCCCCTGCTCAAGCAGGAAACCCTATATTATTTCAGATAAATGGTTGTCTAATCTCTTCTTAAAAATGCCTAGTGATGCAGCTCCCACAACTTCTGAAGGCAAGTTGTTCTAGCTGTCAGAAATGTCTTCTTAATTCTATGTTGGCTCTCTCTCCTTCATTAGTTTCCATCAATTGCTTCTTGTCCAGCCTTCAGGTGCTTTGGAGAATAGGCTGACCCATTCTTCTCTGTGGCAACCCTTTAGATATTGGAAAGTTTTAGGCAGATATGCACATTTATATTATGTAGACCATGGAAAAGAAAAAAAAATGACTGTCACAAATCTTGAGTAAGTACTCCCCATGTAACTAGGGAGGGAAAAAAAGCCAAAGAAGTACAAGGTTTAAGACAGTCCTTCTATTTTATGTCCTTAGTTTGCATAAGTATTGTTATGAGTCACCTATATTCTCAATACATTTTGATTTAATAAAAATAGAGTCTCAGTACATAGGCTCAGTGCATTAGCTGAACTTGAACACATTAACAAACCCTAACCAGGGAATTAAACTTCTTTGATGGAGGAGTCCAATTATTAATAACAGCCAGACCTATTTGTACCAAATTTTTATTTCCTTGATAAAATGTATAGAGACTAAGTATTTAATAAATAGCACCAGCCTGTTTACATAAAAATAAATGAGCAGTTTAATCAACCATACAAAAGTTGTTTGGCATTTTCTGTTTGATGTTAGATAGTAAAATACCACAGTATAATGAATGTGTGCATACTTAACAGGGATGTGCATCTTTGAAAATGATTCAAAGAAGTGCTTCAGTCCTATGTGTGAGCATAACATCTCTCTGTTGAGGACTGAAGTCTTATAATAGTCTGGAAAAAAGAGTATTTTAATGAATAGTGGAATAGCTTACTCAAAATCTGAATCATTTTTCAAAGGGGCTGCAGATCTAGTATTCAAAGCCATCAAGATGCAGGCACTGTGGAAGTTTTTGCACATACCAGCAGAAATTACAAACATATTTAAAACAGGGATTTATTTCATTCCATCCCATGAACAGTGTATGCATGAATATTAAAATGGCTAATATCATAGAGAGAGATATCTGCTATATGTCTTTGCTCTAATATAAATCTATGCTACAAATTCAGGGCAATTCAGTTTTTTCTTCCACTTAACCAATAAGATCGCCTGTTGAATTTTTTTTTTTTGGGGGGGGGGAAGGAGATTTATCTCCTCTGTATCCAAAATCAGCTGATTTCAGCAGGAGGCACATAATGAACTGCCATGAATTGCAGATAGCTAACTGCAAATTTCATCCATACAATGTTTAATCTGGCCAGCAGGGGGAGGAGAAGAAGAGCAAATTTAAAGCTAATACCACCAGTATTTAAAAATAAAACATGCTAATTAAAAAAATGCCAAAAGTCATAAAAATCCTCAACCAAATATTTATCAAGGGGTCCATATATGTATATATTATTATGAATTCATATGTATTCTAGCTACTTCCGTGGAACAATAGGATAAAGTCATTAAGAAAAAGTAGGAATCTAGAACGATTGACGGCATGTCATTATACAAGTTCTCCAGACTTTACAGCAAAGGTATATGGTGTTTTGCAGCAAGGTTTTTTTCCCCTCATTAAAATAACTGGCAGAAAGCTGAGTCTGGAGACAAACAAGGTGACCTGTACAAAAACCACACCATCACATTGAAAGAGAACAATTTGTCAGTCATGGAAGCATTGCCTAAATGCTTGATCACAGAGTCTTCTGTTTGAAGCCAACACTGCAGGAATCAGTAATTGATCTCTCTCTCTATAGTAATAATATGTTGCTTTATAAGTGCTCTTCACCGAGCCACTTTAAATATAGTGAAATCTTTAATATTTTTCATGTTCAGTTAGGTTCTCTTACTACTGCCTAAGAAAAAAGCACAAAGCTCTCCTCCCCATTCTTCCGATTTGTCTCCAAAGGCATATCCCATCTCACCTCTCATGCTATAAGCAGGTGTCAGTATTTGACACAATGATGCAATTTCCTGCAAACCGATAAGAGTATATGTATCTGTTTTTGGCTATGACATTTGATTAACAAACTTCTTTTTTCTTTACAGGTATCTTTTAGCAGGTTCAGTACAAGTAACAGAGGTCCGTAGAATCAGAGAAAAAGTTCTTAATGGCAGCTCTCAATTAAGAAAGTGGTTCTTTTTCTTAAATAATTACATTAGAGGAGATATGTATACATTGGATATGCCCCAACACATCAACATTTACATCTCTTACAGAAAATGGCTACCCTGAAGAGTCATTTCTATTTTTTTAAAAAAAGCATTAACTAGTGTCTGGAGTGCACCTGAGTATGGACGACAGGATCTTCCCTAGCCAGTCGCTCTGCACAGTGTTGAAACATAGTCTTGCCTCATCTGACAGCTAATGATCAGAGTCAGATAGATAAGATGGTTGTGTCCAACGCCAAACCAGCATGTCCTCTCCTGCGACCCTGTGTAATTCAGTCTGAATCCGTGACTCATTGGAGGCAAGAAAATCCTTTGCTCGATCCCAAATGTGCTTCATTTTTCTCCTGGGGGTGGGGTGGGGGGAAAGGGAAATGGATTATGTAAAATTATGCATACATGTATGCATAAAGAATATGCATCATCTTTTAAATATGTTTTATAGCTTCATGTGCTAACAAAAAGCTGAGAACTGAGTTATAAAATGCTCTGATTTAGAACACATAAGACAGCATCAATGTGGAATCAACCAATTTATAAAAATCCAAGATAAACTTTAAATTTTTAAGTTACACATATAACCAATCAAAAGATTAGAATTTTAGGACAACCAATACAATTCATTTTCAAGATTAGTCAAGCAGGAAAGGAAGCCTTTTGCCATGAAAGGAATGAAATGGAAGTGAAGGGAATCATTCTTTGGAAGTTTTTAAAAACATAAAATTATGACCGTCTATGATCGAATAGTTATTAATCACGCATGAAAATAAAAACCACTCTTCCGTATACCAAAATACTTTTGGCAAATTATAGGGCAAGTTGGTTGATTTCTAGAGACAACTGGCTTGCTGCTATGAGGCTACAATATCTACAGTGAGAATATATTAACAGCCCTGAAGAAAATGAAGAAAGGCTCACCTTTCCTGAGGTGGGATGAGTGTATCTCTGATATGAAGGATGCCAACATATGGGTATCGTTCCAGATTCTGCTCCCACTCTTTGTAGTGATTTTGGACAGCAGCTATGAAAAAATCAGTATAAACAGAAAAACATTATTGAACATGAAACTAAGAGGAACACACACACACACACACACACACACACACACACACACACACACACACAGAGAGAGAGAGAGAGAGAGAGAGAGAGAGAGAGAGAGAGAGAGAGAGAGAGAGAGAGAGAGAGAACATTACCTATGATTTTCTGTACCATCTCATACATGGCCTCCTCTTGTTCTTCCCTTTTCCGCCAATAATATTTCAGAAGAATCAGAATCCCCCAAAGGAAAGCTAAACCTGTGAGAAGGAGCACTAAGGTAAGACCTTTCAAAAACAAATGAGCTGCCTTGCATATAAGATTCTCAGAATCTGTTGCCATGTCTTATCTATGCACTCTTCTAAAGACAATTGTATTTTATAGTAAGGGGCTTCTTGACAGCTGCCAAATATCTATAAAGATTTTATTAGATTTTATTACAGATTTCATAAAACCTGACCACTTCTCAAAAATATCAAGTAGCTTTAGTAGCTGGGGTTGCATTTCTTTCACCATGTACATACAGTACATTCTTAAACTAATGAAGAATCTTGTAGCACCTAACACATTTATTTTTGCAAGAAACATACATTTTGCATCTAACTGAAGTGGATTATAATCCCTTAAAGTTTATACCACACCAAACTTGTTAGCCTTTAAAATGCTATAAAACTTTACAGCTGTGCAACTATTATACGTTGTTGTGAGTGTTTATGCTTTTACAAAGGTCGAATTATATCTATATCCTTCTAATTATATAATTAAAGCAATAAACATGAGAGTATTCACTTTATTAAATTTAAGTTGACTAACCCAAAACTAACTCACAAGCTTCAAAACTAAGGGGAAATCTGAATCCCAGCTTTTTCACATCGTGTACTCCAAAGCTATGTTCATTATAGCATAATGCAGCTCCAAAAACAGAGTAGTGATAATGTCTCCATATTCTTGCCATCATTTATATTATTCATAGCCTCTGTAGGGAATCCACCCGTTTAACCTTCTCTGGATTACCATCATAATATATGACTCAGAATAATAAATATTTAACTAATAAGAAAAATAACAGGTTTCAACAATTGTCTGATAAAATGGGGAAGAGCATCCACTCTACTATAAACACTTGAACAAAAACTGTAAAGTGGTGGTGCACAGTGCACATAGAAACCCTTGATATATTTTTTTTAGATAATAGAGGAAACAATTATTAGCCTGATACTTAGTCTTTCTGATACTAGATCACAAGACTAATTATTTCGTAATTTTTAGTAACTGCTTTCTCTCTCCAATTTTTTAAAGTCTTGAATTGCACAAGACGCACATAAATTATCAGCAACACTTTCCTCGCCCCCCCCCCGCAGCCCTCCCCCACCACAAACTTACTCCAAAAGAATATAAATAAGTTTGTAACTGCTGTGTATAGAGCCCGATAAAATCGGCAGCCTAACCCCATCCGGGGACGAGCAGATTCAAGACATACCACTTGCTTCACAGTGGTTACTGGCTCTGAAGGCTCTTTGCCTTGTAACCTGATAAGACAGAAAAAAAGAAAAAGAAATCCCTTTTGAACAATGCGAAACACCTGACAAGTCCCAATAATCAGAATTTTTTAAAAAAACATTTGAGGTTTCTCACTTTTCAAAGTTTTGAAAGACTGAGTTGTACAGACTAACTGTAACCTGTATAAGAGCATTTCATCCCTTGCTTCTTAATAATGTATCAGATGTGGCTTTGGAAAGCAATAGCACAACAATGTCACCTGGCAAAAAAACAAAAAACAAAAACAAAAAGGCTTCCTCATAGTTTTTTTCAGGATACAAGATACCTGTCCTCGACTTACGGCCACAATTGAGCCCAGAATTTATGGTGCTAAGTGAGAAATGTGTTAAGTGAATTTTCCCCATTTTACAACTTTTTTCTTCTTGCTACATTTGTTAAATTAGTAACATGTGAATCTGGCTTCCCCATTGACTTTGCTTGTCAGAAGGATGCAAAAGGGGATCACGTGACCCTCGGACACTGCATCATGTGAATCAGTTATCAAGCATCCAAATGTAAATCACGTGACCATGGGGATGCTGCAATGGTCGTAAGTGTGAAAAATGGTCATAAGTCACTTTTTCACAATGCCATTGTGTAACTTTGTGTAGTAACTTTGAACAGTCACTAAATGAACTGTTATAAGTTGAGAAGTATCTGTATTATGTTTTTAAATGGGGCTCTCCAAGTGACTGCAGAAAAAGTAAATAGTGTTCATACCAGACTACGTTTCTTTGAAGAAATGATTACAATTAAAAAAAAAATAATCAAGTAGTCCACAATTAATGATTGTAATTGGGACCAGGAACTCACTCACATGACCATGTCAACCTATGATGGCAATAGGGTTACAGCTATTAAACAAACCATGCTTGGTTGTTATGTGCGATGTCACATGGCTGCAACTTGCAACTTCTTGCTGGTTTCCACACTGACTTTGCTTCTCAGAAGCTGGCTAGGAAGGTCACAAATGGCAATCGTATGACCACAACTGCTGTAAGTGTGAGCCAGTTACCAAGTGCCTTAATTGTGACCATGGGGACACTATGATAGCTGCAATTTTATGGACTGCCCATAAGCCCCCTTGTTCAATGCTGTTGTAACTTCAAACAGTTGTGAAACAAACGATAGTTAAGCAAGGACTAACTGCACTTGAACTAAAATCTGAGAAATGCAGTAGAAGTCCCAGTTTCCAATTCCTTTTAACAAGCATTAACCAACCAATCCAGATGACCATATTTTGGATAGCTAACTAATGTTACACCAGAGTTGTAAATTATAAATGAAACACAGATAATCTGTTGTCTAAATCATAGGCGAGACAAATGCATTCTCAAACTGGCACATTTCATCAGTTTTACTTATTTGATTCATTACCTATAGACTAAAAAGCTGAATATGTAGATAAGCTCTGCTACATATTTGCTCGTAACAGAATACCATTAAGTAATGCATCTATTGAAAAATTAGCAACAGCTTTTAAAAACGCTGTACATTCTTATTTTCGCATTGATCCCGTTCTGGTAGCTTAATCTCTTTAAATGTTGATGGAATTCTTAATTATGGTGAGCAAAGGGGTAGAGTATATTTTGTTTTTCGAAGCTATAACCTGTAATACTGAAGCAAATCTTAATTACATATTTCCATCCTACCAGCCATTCTAAGCAAGCTATTAATGGAATAGTGTGTAACAGGATGGATTCTTCACAAAGAATGGAAAAACATAACACAATTTCAAATATTACATTACAGCCAATTAAATAAATTTAAATAATGAGGTTGAGGAGGAGGAGTATTTTGCAATTGCTGAAGTTTCACGTATATCAACAATTCCATAGATTGGACAAAACTAACAATGCTAAGACATTAATTCTGATATGTCATAAAAACTAGGGATCTACAGCTATGTACTGATGATCACTTTCAAAATAGTACATTTATAGCCCTAATATTTAGATTCTGCCAGCTTACAATTCTGAACAAACTTTTTGATAGAAATCAAATGGACTTCAACATTGCTATTAAAGTAAATAATTTCTATATAGAAATATGACATTTTGCTTCACTGAAGGATTACATTAAAGAACTTAGCACATAATACCACAAATGAAATTTATTTTTACATAATTAGAGCTATAGTAGTGAATGCCAAGTGACTTGAGATTTGTCTGAAAGAGCCTAAGAATTAAGAGTAATTATTTTGTGAGAACTGAAACAATTATTGTTAAGCAGATTTAAATATGTTTAATATATAAATAAGCAAACAAGTAAATCTAGTATAAAAGGCATAAAATCATGCCTCTACAAACAAATTAATTCCAAAATGATAGCAAGTTGAAATTAGAATGGCGAATCTAATTAAAAAAAGTTGTGAGCTTCAATAGCAACTTTTCTAAGCAGAATTTCAAATTCACATTTCCAAAGAAATCATTTTTAGCACAAAGAAACAGTCAAGATACTTCTGAGTAGAGTAATTTTACCATACTAGCTGACTTGTACCCAAATAACTGCAAAGGGATGCACTTCAAATTGCACCTATCCATTTTCTCTGCTCAATAAAATTAATATGCTTTCAAACAACTCATCTGCATCTGAGAACTAAGTGTTCAGGTGGGTTCCCTTTCTGTATTGAGTAGCTCTTGATATCTCCTTCATAGTTCAAGAGAATATTCTATAATATTAGGATGAGACAGACAAAAAGTCCTTATAAATATATAATAGGCACTCAGAGATACTTTAAGACTAAGCAAAATTTAAGGGTGCTTTGCACAGAATAATGTTTAATCTCCAGATACAACTGTACAGCCAATAAACTTCAAATACAAAGGGAATATGCTGGTTCAGAGAGAATTAATTCAAGTCAGTGAGGATGACATTAAGCATGCCAATGAGAATGGTCTCCGAACATGCTGTTGAGACCATCCAGGTTTTAATTAGTGGCCCATTTGTAAAATATCCCTCATAAACAAATGGAGTATCTCCAGTAAATCTCCATAAATCTGCCCATATGAAACCATACTTACTAAATTAATATTCCAACTACTTTTAAAGGGAAAAAAACAAGCCAAGGCATTAAACATTAAATACTAAAAAGACTAAGAGCAGAGAACAGGGGATTGGAATATGGAATATGGATTATTTTTCACATAAAATCAGAAAATACATTTTTACTCCAAAAATGTTTTTACATTTCCAACCACTGGTATTTCAGACAACGTAGAAAGAAGCAGCTTCATGTGATCCTATCCCAACCTCCATGTTGAAAGAATCTGAGAAGAGTGCTTCATGATTTTGCTCTCACCAGTGCAAGATGTGATGGAAAAATTTCCCAACTGTACATTCAACAATCAGTGAATGGGTCCTATATTGATTTATGTCTGTAAAGTTTCTTAGCTCAGTGAGACATCTGACTCAATCAGGCTTTCCTCTCCTATGGAGGAAAGCTATAGTACATTTCAACCAAACATATGGAAAATATTTTTTATCATAGCTAAATATTTTATCATGCAGAGTTTAGATGCACAAAGCAAATATTGTCCCTACAATTCCAACGTTTCTTTCCATTTTTTTCCTTCAGTGCAGGCAGGAAGGGTGTTGGGAATCTTTTCAGAGTTTCAGGTTTTTATGTCTAACACATTGAGCTCTAGACTATATAACATGATCTGATGAGGTTTTCGGCTAAGAAATTGCAGGCATCTGGTCAGTATATTTTAACTGTTAAAATATGTGTTTTGATGAATAATTTATTATGCAAAAATTTAGCTCACAGTTTTCAAACGTCTGGCACTTTATAATAAAGCATTCAGTGAAAAAAATGACTAAAATAATGACTAGCATAGCAACATTTCATTAATTGGTTAGATTATTAAACTGTCAGAAATCTTTGATCAGTTGACAAGTCGTTCATGATTAGCTGGACAACACTATTTTAATTTTTTTAAGATATCATTTTTTAACCATGGAAGACAAGTAAAAGATACCACATTTGAAAAGGTTTTCTATCACAGAATGTCTCTTTTAAAATAGTGCCTATGTTAACAGAGGTTATCTTCTAAAAGTGAAGTAAAGTTTTCTATTTCATTACTATCATTTCATTTTATACAAATTTGGATTTCTCTAATTATGTGATGACCTAAAAATAATACTTAGCATTTATATACTTCGAAGCAATTAAAAGCCCTTCATGTATAATTACTTGCAACAATTCTCTATGACAAGCCTAAGGAGATCCAAGATTAGTAAATTTCTAATTCAGAGTTATCTTTTAACTAAAGCTAAAATAAGCTAAACTACATTGCTTAATCTGCCATTGACACAGAAAATTTAACCATTCTTACAAAAATCTTTACATTTTATGTTCTGTCAAACAGCAGACCATACACCATCAAATTGTGACGTTCCAGATGCTTGATAATTTACATTTTCACAAAATGAGGCAGGTAACTTGATGTGTTTCAACATATGCAGGCAATATTAATGTTGATCTAAATATAAGTGTCTTATAGTGCCAGATTCTAGGAAACAGAAATCTTTCCAAAGAAAAAAATCCCTCTTATATTCCAAACCATTTCAATGCTTTCAGCTTTACAGAAAATGAAGCAAGCATGTTGCCAGATTTCAAGGGATTCTTGTATATTTAGAACCAACTGTTCTTAATAACTTACCAAATTCCTGAATCCTGATCACTGTCTAATAACCACTGTAATGCCTCTTCAAATTTTTTTATTGAATAGCCGGTCACATTCTGTAAGAAAGCATGCCCACAAATTTAAAGTCATCTACATTAATCTATTAATGAAATATTACTATTACTATTCTCTATTTACATTATTATTCTATTGTTTGTCCTCAAGAAAATTAAAGATAATATGTATATGCTGAAGATATCATTTTTTTAATCTTTGCTTTTATCTGTACCATCTGGTTATGAATACTACACAACTATTACCTTATAAATGCATTTACGCGAATATACCGTATTTTTCGACTATAAGACGCACAGGTGTATAAGAAACACCAAGATTTCGAAGAGGTAAGTAGGAAAAAAAAAGGTTTTGCCCTCCCCCAGCCCCCAGGAGCACTCTGCAGGCCTCCCAAACCCTCTGTGTGCCCTGTTTTTCGTAAAAATGGGCGAAAAACAGCCTGTTATTATACTATACTATATTATATACTATACTATATTATACTATAATATTATATTATTATAAAACGTCCATCTTATACTCCAAAAATTTTCAACAAAAATAACTTGTTGAAAAACTAAAGATTTATAATAGAGTAAGTACAATTTTATAACCACAAAATACATTGCAGTAATTTTATATAAATATATTTTTAGCTATAGATATTACTAAAAACTAAAAAGGGGAAACATGTTTTTAATCAGAAATAGCTAAATACTGGCTGCTCTAAAATATAGCAATTATTTGGCTTTTCAAGGGAAAAGGAAGCGCAAATATGGGCAGACATATTATTTGGGCTTGTTTCTCAAAGAAATAAACTGAAAAGAAATGGCTTAGGGGAAAACCACAGAAACTGATGGGGATGGGGTGGGAGGTGGCACAATTAAATGAAAGCATTTCTTGATGATAACAAATACAATATATTCTAGTATTCCTTACCTCTATATAGTCCTTTGCTTCACTAAATGGTATGCATTTACTTTCTAAATTCTCAGGATTTCCACACTCAAAATTGCCTAGGAAAAAGAAAAAAAAGTTACCCAGATGGAAAGAACCCAACTTTAGACAATTATGAAATATGCCAAATATGAGCCAAGAGTTTCCATTGCGTCATTGTATAATTGGTTAGAAGCACATATGTAGATCATATCCTTATTAAGTATGTATGGGATGTATGTATGTATGGCTAGCAAAATAAATTAATATTCTCATGTAAATCATCATCTAAGGATATAGAGCAGCCTAAAACAATAAAAGTAATGTTTTTTACTTTCTTTTCCATTCCCAATACCCTTTTCTTTCTATATCATGCATTTGTAGATTATAATCCTAGAGCAGAAGAGAGTAGAAGAGAGAAATCAAATTAAATTTATTTTTACCAAATACCTCTAAGCACCCTCTATAATCATGCTTCTTTGGATTTACTCTAACCAAGTGTGAATGGATTGCAATCTAGGCCAGCTAGGGCACTTTTAAATGCAGAAAAACACATTAACTAACAGTAATTTTCATTTAACAAGAAAACATTTACCAAGAAGACATTTAGTTCTACAATGCAGGCTATAAGGAACATTGACAGAGAAAAAATGAATAAGCCTGAAAGAAAGGAGTTATAGGGGTTGTTACAATCAAAAAGGAAAAAAAATAAAAATCTTTACATCAAAATACTATCTGGAGTTCATCATGTTTTGTCAAGATTATAAAGGTTAATCCTCTAAACATTTATAAGAACCTGATAATCCAAATGGTTCAAGCACATTTTCTAGTTTAATCTCTTTTATAACTTCAGAAACTTCCTTATATAATATGTCAAAACCTTCACAAGGCATGATAAATTCTATCCTATAGGGAAGAAAGTTACCAGAGGGTTGGAAAAAAGGTCAGTATAGCATGAATAAATAAAGATTTCACTTTAACCTTGAATGACAACAAAGTTATTCTAACAGTTCTAACTGGTAGACTCAAAATATTTTTGCAAGAATTTATTCACAAGGATTCACAGTTTGGTTTTTATTAAAAGACAGTTAAAGAATTATGTTAGAAATGTGCTGAATGTTTTGGAATTTTGGAGCAACATAATGAAAACACACTGATCCTCTTAGATGCAGAGAATCTTTGGTAATTTCAACTGGTTTTCTTGTTCAAAGTTTGGAACAGAATTTTATAAAATGGGTAAAATTGATTTACACTTAAAAGTAAATATACTTTTTACTATGAGATACAAAAAAGGAACAAGACAGGAATGCCCAGTCTGCTTTCTTGTTTATTTTGATTCTTGAAATACTGAATAGATATATAAAACGAGGATTGTGAGAGTAAAGATTAAAAAAGAAGAAACTTACACATTAAGGGCTTTTGCAGATGACTTGGGATTGGCCCTGGAAGATGTTTTAAAGATGTTTGAAATATCAATGGGCAAATTAAAAGAATTTGGTGCATTACCAGGTTTCATGATTAATAAACATTAGACGAACATGTTAACAAAAATGTGAAAGTAATGATCAAGCAGAACTAATGAATAGTATGGGTTTTAGACTGATAAAAGGGTAAAATATCTGGGTATCATTATGACAAATATGAATTGTATGTTATTTCAAAATAACTATGTTAAGACATGGAATGAAGTTAAAAAAAGATATGTTAAGATGGAATAAACTACAATTGTCATTGTTGGGGAGAATTTTTGTGAGAAAAATGAATGTCTTGTCTAGAATGATGTTTTGTTTCAGACAATAACTGTTTTGACAATTGAAACAGTGGCAGAAAGATATAGTTAAATGTGTGTGGCAGAGGAAAAAATTACAAGTTAACAGTAAAGTGTTACAAGATGCAAGGGAAAGAGGAGCATTGGATTTACCTGATCTGAAATTGTATTTTACAGTTTGCTGTTTGTTTTGGGTGAAAGAGTGGGTATTGCTGAGAAATAGAAGGCTTTTGGACTTGGACTTTTTGAAAAGACATGACCTGAGATCTGGCTGGGATGGATTTCTGTGGTATGACAAAGTCAAGGTTAATGTGGATATTAAAAATAATTATGTTAGATTTGCCATATTGAAAATATGGAATAGATATAAACCCAGGTTGTGCCCTGTGTGGATCTCGGCACAAGAAGCAGAGAAATATAGGAAAATACAAATGGTTAACTTATCACAAGATGCTAGAGCTTTTCAAGGGGAATACAAAATAAGGAAAAGAACTGTGACAGAGGTTATATTAGCTATACAGTTATATTAGTCTTATTTACAATTACTAGAAAGATTTAAAGTAGACAAAAGAATTTATGGTTTCAAACACTGTTAAGAATGAGCTTGAAACAAAAATCTGTACAAATTATAAATAATTGCTAAAACATATACACTTTTAGTGAGACTTGAAACAAGAGCAGCAAGTGAAAATATGTATGACAAAGTATATTTTATTATAATATAAAGATAGAACAATGGTAAAATATGTAGCTGAAAGGATTGAAATTAATACCAAGTTATAATCTTAAAGAAAACATTTATAAAGTGATGTACCATTGATGTATGTCACCAGAAAATTATCCAGAATATATAAAGGCACTTCACATTTATGCTAGAAGGGACATTTCATCATGTTTGATGGATGTGTAAAAAAGCTAGAAAATTCTGGATTCAAATACATAACATGGTTACAGAAGATTTTAAAGATTAATACACAACTGAGACCAGAAGTTTTTCTTTGGGGATTGGAGAAATAGTTGGAAAAACTTATGGAGCTTTGTTTTTATACATAATAACTGTAGTAAGATTATTGTATATAGAAAGATAAAAGATTCAGCCCTCCACAAAGGAGGGATGGTTGGTGAAGATGAAGTAACTTTCTGGGATGCCTAAATTGACTTCTTTGATCAGAGAAAAGACAATATCTACGTTTATTGCTGGGTGAAAACTCCTTACTGACTTTTTAGGTGAAATTGCAAAAAATGAACTTATGATTTATGGTTTTGATGACTATATAAAACAGAGTATTAAAAAAAAATTATGTTGTAACCATAGAGTAAGAGATAAATTTATAACTGTATTTATAACTGCTGTAAAGATCAGAAGCTACTTTGTATCATTTTCTTTCTTTTCCATTTTTATTTTCTTGTACTTTTAGTTTTCTCTTTTTTAAATTTTATATTAGTTTGTATAATTTTTATATGTATAAAAAGATACTATCTGAAAAATGACACTAAAGCGTGGGACATTCAGAAAGGATAAAAGGAAATATTTTTCTACCTAGCACATAGTTAAATATTAGCCAGGATTGCAATCTGGGATAGCTTTAATTTGGGATTCAAAAAAAAAAAAAAAAAAATCATGGATATCATTGATTCTAAGTCAGAATAGGTCTTTATTACTTTTAGCATTCTAAGCAGTATGTCTCTTAATTCCGATTAATTCAAACAAAAGTGGTGCTCTGGTTGCATTATGTCTTGTTTTTAGGCTTCTAGTACATATACAGATGATCCTTATAGAAATAGAGTGCTGTCTTAAAGCCTGATTCCACCATGCCTTATATTCACAATGTATAAAATTGTATTTATATTTAGCTTGAAAATACCCCAATTGATAGAAATAATCATTTTCATACTCCGATTAATCAGAACTTACCAGCTTGAATTGCAAGATAGTTGTACAACTCATACAATATGGTTGTTGTAATTTCTTCTTGTTTTTCCCGACAATACTGAAAAAGGAGGAAAAGAACAGCAAATAGCTCTTTAAATTATTGAATTATTTTGCAAGGCAATAGGAAATATTTTTAGTATGTTATTGGTTCCCTTCATAATCTCCAAAGTGCAAATACTGTACACGCATGAACCGAAAAAAATATAGTTTAGGCATGATATCACAAAATCAGAGTTAGCATTTTAAATATAATTCTATATTGGGATTTGTCTTTTTCAGCTATGTTTTGTGGACTAACTTGGAACTATAGCCACAAGCAACAGATAGTAAGGCTGCCAACTCTATTTTAGCTTGCTTTGAAAAGTAACTGATAAAATTCTTATCAAAAATCTTATTGTTTTTATAAATTATTAAAGCATATTTATATAAAGTCAAGGATTTAACTCTGTAGAACTATTGATTTATAGCATTTGAATGATTTTTATATTAACCTGACAAAAATCGTCTGGAATTCCCATATTAATGAATTATTAAATTATATGTGAAAAATGGAAGAGGCTTATTTATACAACATCCCTAAAATTAAGTGGCTAACACACCATGAATTAAATTTAAATGACTTTTAACTTACAATATCTGTGCTTTTTTCACAATCCACGGTCAAAAGTTTTACTGTGAATGAAAATAAATAATTAAATTACTTGCCAAAGCATATACAGAATAGATATTTTACCTATTTTTTCATAATAAGTGTGAATCTTGACATGTTTCTTGAAAATGCCCATTCTACTGAATAGGTCTTAACCAAGTGGAATGTGTAGAAATTAAATCTTAAAACTGCAACTAATCTGACTAATTTAAAGGAAATTATTCACAAACCAATAATATTAAATAAGAAAATAAATCACATCCGGTATTCATACCAAAATAAGAACAGTCATTTACTTTGAAGGTTACCTGGGACTACATTAAAAGTGCCATTTCAATTCTTCAATTTTTATTCTTAAGGCATAATTTTTGACAGAAACATGCTGCTGTACGGTAAGAAAAATATGCATATATCAATGGAAGCTTATAGCTTGTCCAGTCATAAATGTACTAATACCATCATTAGGTGATTACTGAGAGGGTCAGCTGTAAACAGCCAAGCCTACACATAGAGTTCAAGCTATTTTATTATATTCTGTTTTTAATACAGGGATCTTCCCAGTTTGGCAGGTGTCCCTTGGGAACAATGAGATAAAGTTCAAGGAATTCAGGGAGGACCAGTTCTGGTCCTTTTAAGATTGCACAGTGACTCTTGATTAGCTCTGTGCGTGATTCCTGCTCCCTGCCAGGTTGGGTGCCTCCCAGCAAACAGGTTCTTTATTAACACCAGGGCCCAATCTTGCATTCTTTGGCAAATGGAAATGAATGCTACTTTTTTTTTAAAAAACAGGGACACTGTTTAAAACACTTTGGGCTCAGTAGCTACACTTTTTCCTTAAAGTTTTGCAAAAGCAAAGTGTTCTTACTGTGTGCTCAATAATCATGGACTCTCTTTGTTGAAGTAATTATTGTAATTCTGTAGTAGTGAAAAAATATTCAATAAGAGCTACTTAAAACTCCGATTTCCTATGCAGTCAGCTTGAGGTAATATGGGCAAACACACATATGAAGCTCTCAAAACAATAACATAAAGATTCTAAAATAATTGGTCTCATAATAAATAGGATGGCCATTCTAAGCTAATGTTCTGGGGTAAAAAAACCTTAACACCATAGCTCATATTCATTATTAGCCTTGAAAAGTCTGAAGCCAATTTTACTTGTAAATGCAATATATCCATAAACTGAATGACCAAACTATGACGCAAGGAGGACGAGAAGGATAGAATTGAGACTGAAAAAAAATATATGAGGCAAATTATGTTTACAAGAGTTTACACGTACAATTCTCCATGGACCCTTCCAGGTGAGCAGGTCCCACCATCTTCACCCAAAGGATGGCCAAGAAAATCACCAGCAGCACTAAGGTTGCCACCCACAGGAACCAGGACAAATAAAATTCTAGACTTTGGCTTTTTTTCCCAGCTTGATGTTTCTGACCTACATATTGCTGAGTCCCGTCCCAACGGCTACCAAAATTTAAATCTCTTTCTGCTCTTGTCCCCAAGATCGTTTTGGTACTTCTGGAAGCTCCTTCTTTCTCTCCTCCTCCTCTCGGCAGCCTATAGGTTAATTCTTCTCCGATTCTCTCGGTTACCGAGGGGCTGGGAGCTGCCCATCTCTGGCTTGTGTAGCTGACCCAGTTGCTCAACCCTCCAGGGCTTTCTCCTGTTCTTGGTTTCCAAGAAGCGCTGGGCTTCAGGCTCTGCTCCTTTTCCCACCATTTGCAGGAGCTTAAACCCTCTTCGCTGGAGGGAGCTGGTTTCCATGGGGCACTAGAAGTTAATCTACCTGCCACCGTCTCCCTCTGATAGGGGGACGTAAAGCCCTCATCAGCTTCTAACTGGGTCCTTTTGGAAGCGAATCCAATACTTGGCCTCCAGGGGCTGCTAAGTGGATCCACCTCTCTAGCCGGCAAGTGGATCCTCTCCGGGGTGAATGGAGTCTCTGTCGGCCAGTGGGGACTCTCAGCAAACCTCCTGCTGCTCCCCACAGCTCCCTCCCTGCGCGACGACAAGTAGTCGTTGCTCTCCTCTTCGTCCTCGTCCTCGCTCTCCCTCCTAACCAAGATGCGGCTCCGGGGAGTCGCTTTGGGGCCAAGTTGGGCGGAGGCGGAGGGCCTCACGGAGCTACTTGAGCTCGGAGGGACCGCTCTGGAGCTGGTGCGGCTCCTTAGCCCTGCCGCCACCTCAGCCCTCAGGCGGGTGAGTTTCTTGGCGTAAAGTTTTCGGGTGGAATCGGTAATCGGCCCCGGCTGGTAGCCCAGGGCCAGCAGCTCCGCCCGCAGCTCTGCATCGGATAACCCCGCTGCGGCCATCGCCGGTGACAGGGAGGAATCGAGACCCTGCACAACCCGGAAGTGGTACCGCCGACCAAGGAAGGACTTGCGCCATCTCGGTGGTGGCAAAGCTTCGGCGTGGCCGTTTTTACAGGAACCTGGGCGACTTCCGCCCTTACTTTTTGCACCGCCATTTCGAGAAGGTCGAAGTCGGGCCGCGCTGGGATGAGAAGCGCCCTTTATGGTTTATATTAAAATATGTTTTAAAAAGTACAAACCCAGTCTCGAGAAACGCCCTTTCTTTTACGTGGCAGATCACACAACCTCCCTGCCCGAGCAAATCAATTTGTGGTCAGGATGACACAGTTCCCCAGGCTTAGGATCCTGGGTGAGTTCAGCTTGCCTTCTCTTGGGGCATAGTCCAAAGTAACTCAGGAATTCATAATTAGAATGACAGATGTAAACCAGAACTTTGAGTATCCAATGCATGACAGGGCAGTGGGGGCTTTGGATCAGATTGCTCCCATGTGACCTCTCCTCCCATTCTGAACCTCTTCTAAGTTTACAGAGGGAACTGAAGGAGATGATATAGGTGAAGAGATACCTAGCATGTTACTGAAGGATATGGAGGAGTGATCCAGTGGTGGGAGTCAATTTTTTTTACTACCGGTTCTGTGGGTGGGGCTTGGTGGGCGTGGCATGGCTTGGTGGGCGTGGCTTGGTGGGCATGGCAGGGAAAGGATATTGTAAAATCTCTATTCCCTCCCCACTCCAGGGGAAGGATACTGCAAAATCCCCATTTCCACCTGATCAGCTGGGACTCGATCAGCTGGGACTCGGGAGGCAGAGAATAGATGGGGGCAGGGCCAGTCATTGGTGATATTTACCGGTTCTCTGAACTACTCAAAATTTCCGTTACTGGTTCTCCAGAACTGGTCAGAACCTGCTGAATACCACCTCTGGAGTGATCTTGACCAATCATATAAATGACAGCTAGGCCTATCTCCTAGTAGTCAGGTGGCAAAGTGCCAAGATTCATCTGTGCTTATTTCACCTGTGGATGGCCATTCAGTGACCTCATTTAAGGGAGACAATGCCTTGGAGGGTTACTGTAAGGGATAAGCTAAACATCTTTCAGATACATTTACCTGGATTCACTCCAAAAGTGGATTCTAACCTTGAAGCAGGTCTTATGGAGATGACTGAGGCTTAGTCTGGCTTATATAGGAGGAGTTGGATTCTTTTTTAAAATTTTTTTTTATTAAAGATAGACAAACAAAAACATACATACATACAATACACGACATAAACAAACTATACATTAAAATCAAGTCTTGTAACTTGAACCTTACGAAAAAAGATGATTAATCTTTTTTCGTAAGGAGGAGTTGGATTCTTTTAGATGTGATGATGTGAATAGGATCCATATACCTCCTGGTTCACTAAGGCTTTACAAGAGATGACATATGACGGGGTTCTTTCTTGAGAAAAGGTGGTTCCGCCAATCTTTAAAGAAGTGGTTCACTCACTCCTCAACCATTCTGAGGCCCAACCATAATAAACAATTTTCATTTAGTCTCCAGCCTTAACTGTACCTTACCTTGGATGAAGGAGAGCTCCTCCTTTCAGTGAAATAGGATGGCTTTTGAAGACGGAAACCCAGATACTAGAGTGGATCAAGTAAGAATTGCTTCCAGGGAAAAGGTATCTGGCTCAGTAGCTATAGAGGAAGATTTGCAAAATTGATTGGCTGTTTTCAAAGATGGCTTGAGATCTCATCGCATCAGGGAGAGTTGCGGATGGTATTGCAAATGATATCAAGGTAGGCTGCAAGTGTGCAACTCATCACATATGAATGTGTGTCTTATGTGCAGAAGCAGGCAGAGTTATTTTGCCACTTTGGTTTAGTGCAGTGCATCACAATGTACTTTTGTTTTGTCACAGTGCAGTGAACCCATGGGGGTTCAGCTTATGGAATATATCTTTTTGCCATTGTTGTCCCATTTTGTTTTCTTCTTCTTTCCTTTCTTTCGTCTTCTTGTGGCACATATATTAATACCTCAAGATGTTATTTAATGAAATAGCTCTATAAAGTTTACTTCCAGCTTGTATCATCCAAATATGCTGTTAACTGTTCAATTTGCTGGCAATCTAGGAAGAAAGGGGTATGGATTTATAAATTGATTGTGGTGTTTTCAAAGTGGAACGCTCCTGTTATACTGAAGATATGACAACCCTGTGATAGAAACAGTTTTTTATTTATTATTTTTCAATCCCTGTCATTTTGATTATGCACTCTTTTAAAGACAGAAATGGTATGGCATTGTGTGAAATGTACTGCATATTACACACACAGCCAACAGGAAAAATTATTTCTCAGAAATACAGTTTAAAATCCAGTTCAGGGCAAAGTAAGACTTGCAATAGAAAAGACTTTAATCAAGTAAAAGTAAAAGTAGTTTTAAGACTAACTATATGGGGTAGGGTGGGCTCATTCCAGGTGCCCACTATTAAATGCCATCTGATAGGACTGATGAAGATCTCACTTTTCTCATAGCACTGGGTCAGGAGGGGAAATGGGCCTGGCATTTTAAGTTCTGTGATGGGACTCTGACTTGTTGGTATGAGAGAATGTTTATCTGTTGTTAAGCTGTTCTAGAGTTATTTTCTATATTGTGAGTGTCCATGCAAATCCTTTAAATAAATGTAGGTAGCCCTTGGATTATGACAGCAATTGAGGCTGGAATTTCCATTGCTAAATAATGTGGTTGTAAAGTTTAATATTCCATGATCGCATCACTTAGTGACAGTTCTCCCAGAAGACCTGCTGACCATTGTACACAGTAACCCCCAAACCATATGGGTCTTCATGTGAGAACCTCGTGTGACTGTGAGGTGGGAAAAGGTGAGAGTCCAGGCAAATAAGCCTGTGGGTGAGAGCTGGTGGTATGGGGTGCAGGTGGGGAGGAATTGTGGACAGGCACCATGGAGCAAATAGTGGTCATGAGACTACAGGGATGCTGCAATGACTGCAACTTGAAGACCAGCTCTAAGCCCCCCTCCTCGTTCAGTGCCAAGAGCATTAAAATAAAACTCAAATAGGATCTTCATTAGGCTATCAGGCCATTAGGCCATCAGAGTTCAGCAGCATCAAACTCTCTCATTATCAGGAACAGAAAAAGAACTTTCTCTCTTCTGGAGAGCTTTAAAGAGAGAACGAATAAATTCCATCTTGCCTTTATTCTTTCTTTATATATCATGGAGGAGACATCATGCTTCAACCAGGTTAAAAAAACCCTCATATCTAGAAAAGGATTAGAGAATCAGAAAAAAAAAATAAACATAGCAAATGAAGAGGAAGATGTGGATTAGGATCCTTCGGTTGAGTTATTTTATGGATTTCTCTTATTTTGTGCCCGTGTATTCTGAATCTAATTTTACTGTATCTGTAGTAAGTGTGTGTGTAATAAAGGCCGCCCTACATCCCTGCTGTGAATGTGCAAGTTTCTACTATATACTGTACTGCACTCTGAAGATTCCAAATACATGTCAGAATCATGTATTTCTCAAGAAGTGATTATTCTAAGGGAAAATATAACCTGTTCTCTTCCAAGAATATTTTTCCTCTTCATAAAATACCCTATAAATTTAGTGTCAGATATGATGTAGTGGAGTCCAAATGTTGGCATGATGTAGTATCAGATACTCAGCAGAAAATGACATTTATTTTCAAAATCTCAGTAAAAATCTTGGGGTAGGTTTAGGGAGAAAGATTAATTACAAGCAATATAAGAGGGACTTGCGGAGAATAATACAGATATACTGCTTGACTCCACTGTCTGTTTACAAATCTGATCCTTTGTATAGCATTCTGAAAGAAATTCCCTTCTTTGATTTCCTACTTAATATAAATAAAATCTGATTATCTAGCAATGAATTAAGAGGACATATAGGCCTGGACTTTTTTTTTTTCTATAGGGAATGGATGAGAAGACTCATAATTGATGGGGGGAAAATGAAGCACTGATTTGAAAATTAAATTTAGTACATCAGAGTCATAGAGACATCTATAAAAAATAAATGAAAACAGAAATATTGCTGCTTAATATTTGAATTTAATTAAAGATCATGCAGAAATAGTGACTAATGTTTCTCATAATGACTTAATGACTGCTCACTTTCAGTATCATGAATAAGAGGCAGACCTTCCTACAGAGGTGTTGCTGGAGTGAAAAGAGCTACTCTTTGCTCTAGCATTCGAGCTCCAACATAACCTTTTAATTTTATGTTTTGACTGGGCCAGGAGGTTGAGCAACCTCAATTCATCATCAGCAGAGTGCAGTTTGACTTAAGGTTCAGTTCATCACCAGGCTTTGTTAAATGGGTTTGCAGTGAGATAACTATTTCCCGAAGTGATAAATGATGCATATAGCCTATCTGCTATGACATCTTTTGATTGCAAACCTATTATATAGCCACTTACTACAAGCCAGGTTTATGAAGTAGATTGCAAGCTCTGCAGTACTCCCAAAGTCCTTTAAATGAATTATTTCAGCTATAATCCAGCACAACTTATTTCCAATCATTACTATGCTGCTGAACATTTTTGCATAATATTCTTCTTCAGCAGTCAATTACGGCTCTCGCTCCTGGATTCTATAACAAATTAGGCTGGATTATTATTAGTATTATTAAAAAAAAACCTATGAAGAATTCAGATTTTGTGACACTGCAGTAGGCATCAGTCATTGTTCCCAATCCTTAATTTACAACCATTAGTTTAGTGACTGTTGAAGTTACAACAGCACTGAAAAACCAGTCCTAGGAGTTCCAACCATTGCAACATCCCCATGGATTTACAAGGATTCCAATAAGCTGGGGTCATGTGATCACTATTTGTGACCTTGTCAACTGGCTTCCGACAAGCAAAATCAGTGCGGGAAGACAGATTCACTTCACTTCACTTAACTACTATGGTGTTTCGCTTAACAACCATGACAAAAAAGATCATAAAATTAGGCATGACACACTTAACAATTGCCTTGCTTAACAGTGGAAATTCAGGTTTCAATTGTGG